CGCCTGCCAAACCCATAGGCATGTTGAGCTAGCTGAACGAGCAGCGGAAAGGCTCTTTGCCATTGAGCCAATGAACCCTGTTGGCTATGATCTATTGGCTAATATATATTCAGCTTGTGGCCTATGGGAGGGGTTGCAAGAGTGAGGAAGATGATGCACGAGAGGGGAGTGAAAAGGGGGACAGCTTGCTCTTGGGTCGAAGCCCAAATGGGGGTTCATGTTTTTGTGTCCAATGATCAGGTCCACCCAAGACTAAGAGAGATTCACGAGAAGCTTGAGGAGTTGGGAGAGGAAATGATGAGATTTGGGCATGTTCTTGATAAGAGCTTTGTGTTGCAGCAATTGGAAGAAGAGCAAAAGGTGCCAGCTTTGAGCTATCATAGTGAAAAGTTGGCAGTAGCGTTTGGGCTTATTAGTATTGATGCTCCAGCACCCATTAGGGTTATGCAGAATCTGAGGGTCTGTGGGGATTGTCACAGTGCTATGAAGCTTATATCACGGATTGAAGGGCGAGAGATAATCCTCAGGAACTCCACCCGATTCCACCATTTCAACGATGGAATATGTTCTTGTGGGGACTATTGGTGAAGGTAAAGAAAGTATGTTCATCCTCCCAAATTATGACTAAAGGGAAATAACCCAATGGAATATGGGAAAACCACAGTTCATTAGGGTTATCCCTCATCCCTTTGCAATGGAATGCCAGACAGTGATGGAGAGAGTGTAGGACACACCATTGTGGTTGTCCTGTTTGTTGTGCCCAAATCTCTCCATCACCCTGCATATCACTGGATGGTGGGGATCCCAATGTACGATGGTTGTCCCACAGTCTACAGAGATTTTAGTGTGCTTCCATAAACTAGATATGTGTGATTTCTAGTGACATTCTTTTCTGATTGAAATGCGAGATTTTTAGGACATTTATAGGCCAGATGCTGGTGTTAATATACCTGCCAAGTGAAAGACTCAAATTAATTACTCCATAAAGAGTTCTAAAATACACAATATTTATTTAGTATCATCTGATGACGGCGATTCCATTTCCTTTTTCCTATCATTATTGATATTGCCTGTGTTGCCATCGTCTTTTCTAATCCTTGTATACATCTTTCAAAACTCAAAACTAACAGATGACCATAATAAACTTTACTCGTCTAGAATATTACTGTAGTTTTCTTTTTGGAGGAGGGAATCTAATATGAATTTGTGCATGTTGGTAAAATACTACCTAGGCCAGACTGCAAAGAGCAGCTAGACCTTGAGAGAGGCCACTTGATCATCCAAACTCAATACTGGGAATTATCTAAAAAAGAACTTTGTATGAGAATCCTTCTCATACAAAGTTTGATAAGTATATATTTTTTTAGAGAAATGATCCTATAGGACCCTCCACCCATGTGACCATTAAATTTGGCATGGATCTATAGAAAAGTCAAATCCCACACCCATGTGATAACTTTTTTAGAGATCCATGCCAATTTTAATGGTGATCTTTTGGGGTCCTACATATACGAGTAGGAGAGGGTCCTATAGGATCATTACTCTTATTTTTTATTTTTGTTTTCCTTTTGCTTTTTGGAGAATAACATTGAAATGGAAGTTAAGAGAGGGAAACCAATCCAAAAGCAAAACCAAAAAGAGAGAGAGGCCAGGGCATTGAGAGGAAACCATCCATACGTATTTTCCAATTATTTAATATCTTTGTATCTATTCCCCGTATTGTTTCTCATGCTACTATTAATTTTCATTTTCTTTGATCTTCTCAATGCACTATTTTCCATCATTGCATCCTTGAATGCAATAAAAATGAGCAAATGTGCTATTATTTTCCCACTTGTTATAGTAATTCTAATTAAGTGTACGTTAGTATTATTGTATGGTAAATGATATTGAATATTCAACTGCAACAGTATATTATAATAATAAAATGTTTGGGCGTGTTTGTTTGATGGCAGACCCGAATCTTCCGCTAAACAAGCATGCCATTCAAAGTCAAACTGGACAAGTAGAACATGACTGTACCTTACAAAGACCGTTCTACCTCTTCAGACAATGCCATTAGCCTCTTTCTTGTTTTTTTGTTGTTTCTGTTGCTTTGTTTGTCTTTGTCATTGTGTTGTCTGCCGACATGGACTTTTTATGTCTACCTTCAAGTGTGTGTGTATGTGTGTGTGTGAGAGAGAGTATTATGGAAGACAAACGAGCAAAGAGAGAGAATTATGAAAGACAAAAGAGCAAGAGAAAGAGAGTATTATGAAAGAGAAAAAAGCGAGAGAGAGAGAGAAAGCGAGAGAGAGAGAGAGAGAGTATAATGAAAGACAAAAGCACTTCCAAACTT